GGGAAAGGATTTGAAGCTAATAAGAACCCAATGACCTTTAGCAAGTTGTCCCTGCTGTAGCTTTCACCAGCCTGTCTTTTTTGAGTGTTACACAGAAGAATAATTAAGGTGTATTTTCTGAAATCTTTAATGACATGTCTTGCAGACCTTGTTAAAAACTGTCCAAGGTTAAGTAATTTGTTTCTTATCTGTGTTTTTACTAGACTCCTGTTCATTGTGTCTACTAGTAGGTAGTCCTCATCACAAATAACTTAATTTCTTTTGTAAAGAGTCAGAGGAAACATACAGAAGTTAAACCTATTTAAACACCTGGTATGCTGATTGCTAATGGAATGAAACTAGCATGAACATACTTATGTGAATATCATTTTTTGTTTGTATGACTTAAACATTTCCAATCAACCAGTTCTTTAATTCTAACGAAATTTAGATATTTAGAATTACGTTATTATTTGTCCTAAGTTTTTCCCTTTGGATGTTGGATACAAATAAACACCCCTGGAAAGTGAAAAAAATACAAATTCCTTCTGATACGTAATGCTACAGAATCTCGAAATCATGAAAAACCAGTATCGAAAGGTAATTGAACTGCAGATATGTAACTGGAAATGATGTTTCTGTGGTGCTGAGCTTCTCTGAAATTCAGATTAACTGCTTGGGCAGTTTACCGGAGATAACTTGGAAATATAGAAGCTCTCCTATCTCAGACCCACACACATGTCAGTAATGGATTATTACAGGGTTTAAAAGCACTTTGACTTGGACTAATTAGACAGGCACGTGACAGGTCACTTTGTAGAGTGTGGGGAATCTTATTGACCAAAAATACTGGTTCCCATCTTAAACACAGGAAACCTCTGTAGTGCTGATCTGGTTTTCAGAAGATCAGAAAGGAGTTCGTTGCAAATGTATATTTTCAGCTGCTGAACAGTACACAAGTGCTGAAACCAGTGAAATAATAAGAGATTACTATCTATTCAGATGACAGACCTTGTGCCAAATTCTTTTATATTACTTTATATCTTTGCAAGAGTGTAACAAAGTGTTATTAACATCTCCTTGGCAGACAGGAAACCAAGACCCTAGTTTTAATCACTTGTGATAGAATTGGGATTTGAACTCAGGTCTGTGGTTCCAAACTTTTCCCTTTTCTCTACCTCACTAGTGCTCTTTGAGCTTATAGCATAGCTTAGAAGAATTGTAAGGAAGGTGTACCTTGATGGTTAAATCATTGGCTGACATTTTAAAAGCATATACTTTTTTATTTTTTATTTTTTTTTATTAGAGAGATGTTTTGGGACAGGCAGGTAGCGTGGTGGTCAGGAGCACTGGACTCCCACATGGCCAACCATGGTTTGAGTTCCAGATGAGGTGGCTTACTTTCTCCTTTCCTCTCTCTCTCTCTCTCTCTCTCTCTCGTTCTCTAACTCTGTCTCTGATAAAAATAAACAAACAGATAACTTAGTAACAATAATATTTTAGAGAGAGGTTTTGCTGTAGCGCACGTGCACTCACCAGAAAGACAAAGAGACAGCGAGAAATCATCCCCTAGGGGAGATGGCCACTCCATAGTCCCTTCTCCATTCTCCTCTTGGGGTTTTGGGCATGTGTGCTCGTGCCTGAGTTTTAAGCCACCAGGTCTGAGAAAGCAAATACTTTTATACAAGGGTGTTAAATCTAACTAGAATGTAAGACTAGAGGAATTTGAATCATGAATACTATCAGTTGGATAGATGAAATGATGAAAATGAAAAATTGGTCTGATTTAAACTCACTGAAACTATTTTTTTAACATTTATATAGCTGCGAAGTCATCATTGCCAAACTTGAAAAGTTACTTAAGTGACTTAACTTAAAGTTTTAAGCTGTTTCCTCTTGGAGTTGTGAGTAGAAAACACTGTATAAGGGACAGTGATGTGACAGTTAAGTAAGGAGTGCTAGGGAATTGCTTAGTATCCAGGAGAGATGTAGGCTAGTATTCATTGTGTAACTCCTGTCCTCGGTCTCACATCTAGTTGGGGTCTGTTTTTCTTAGGAAACATTCTCATTTATTTTTCTTTTTGCCTTGGGGTAATGAATATCTAGCTATATTACTGTCTAAAATGGAAAATTCATAAAATAGCTATTAAGATTATTGTCACTATGGCTAGCAGTTCATGTGGTTGTTAAGGGCACCGGCTTCCCACATGGCTGACCACAGTTCAAGTCCTGAATCTGGCAGCTTGCTTTCTCTCTCTCTCTCTCTTTCTCTCTCTCTCTCTCTCTGGTCAAATTTAAAATAATAATAATAATAGCAAATAGAATCAAATAAATAAATAACTCTTTAAAAAAAAAAGATTATTGTCACTGACCTTAAGCCTGAAAAAAAATCAGACTTAGGACCAGGAATTGTTTTTTGTGTAATGCAGTATATGTCCAAATTGTGCAGAAAAAGTGACTAGTAAAAAGGGTAAAGATACCTTTGTGCCCTTGCCTAGATAGCTTCTACATCACGTAACCAAGAATAAGCAGTGTGATTAAACTCTCAGTGATAAATACAATCGTCATTTTAAAAGAATGTATTACTAGCTTAATTTTTAAGAGAAAAAGATTAAATACATAGCTCTGAGTGGACAAGTTCTTCCTTAACTTGCTAATGCTCACGTAGGACTAAGATATTATTATTTTTAAAGGTTTTTGCGACAGGGCGTGTACTCACCAGAGAGAGGGAAAGCAAGGAATCACCCCCCACACCATGGTCCCCTTTGCCTCTTTCTTTCTCTTCCTGGGGTTTTGGGTATACATGCGCCCAGCATGATTTTTGTCAAGCCTTTGGGTCTGGGACTTGAACCATGGTTGGCCATGTGGAGTCTAGCACCTTAACCACCATGCCACTTGCTGACCCTAGAACTAAGGTTTTGGTGTTTGTGTTTTGTTTTGTTTTGTTTTGTTTTGTTTTGGTGTGTGGTGTTTTTTTTTTTTTTTTCTTTTTTTTAAGGGATTTTTGCCTTAGGGCATGTACTCTCACTGGAGCGGGAGAAAGAGAGATGGGGACAGTGAGAAATCACCTCTCCCTCCAGGGGCATGGTCATGCCACAATCCCTTCTCCTCCATTCTCCTCCTGGGATCTTGGGCGTGCATACACATACACCCGAAGTGATTTTCAAGCCACCAAGTCCAGGACTCGAACTGCAGTCAGCCATATTGGAGTCTAGCAACATAACCACTACACCATCCCAGGACTAAGATGATTTTTAACAGCTTTGAGATATAACTCGTGAAGTTTACCATGAAGTTCACTGATTTAAAGTAGGGGAGAAATTACAAACCTACACCAGACACACAGTGACTTAACATTATGAACGAATATGTAAGGGGTCTTCAAGGAAGTTCATGAAAAATGCATATTTTGAAAAACTGTGCAAGGATTTCTAAATTTTTTGTACCAAAACAAACTAGTACTTCAATTCTGTTTTTTCATGAGCCTTTCTGAAGTCTCTTTTATATTCATTGACGGATTTTAAGGTTCTTTCCAGCTTAGAAATCTTATTCTTTTTGCTACTGAATAAATCAATACAGTGTAATTTTATAAAGTCATTAAGATGGTACTTATTACCTCTTGGCATTTGTCCAACAAATCTGATTAGCATAAATATATGGCCAAAGATTTCCCCTCTGATACTCAACAGTTACATTAGAAAGGTCCATTAGGCCATACAGAGGCCCAATAATAATCACAAATTACCCTAAAGCAGAGACTTGGTTCCAATGTATATGCTCTAGAGTAGAATAAGAATACAATTAGAAGGCCAACAGGTGGCATGGTAGTTAAGGCACTGGACTCCTATATAACCAGCCACAGTTTGAGTCCTGGACCTGGTAGCTTGCTTTTTCACTCCCCACCCCCACCCCCGTCTCTTTCTCTGGTGAATACATGTGCCCTGTAGCAAATTCAAAAATAATAATAATTTTTAAAATAAATAAAAATCCTTTAAAATAAAAACATAAAAAGAATGCAATCAGGGCCAGCCCTGAAGCAAGGGAATTAGATCCCATATGGCTGGCCACTGTTTGAATCCCAGCGACTTGAACTGCATGCCTAAAACCTGCCAGGAAAGAGGAATGGAAGAAAAGGGATTGCAACATAACCACAGTGCATCAAGGAGTACTTTCTCTCTCACGTTTTCTTTTTCTCTTCCTCTCTGAATTCATGTGCCCTATGCCAATTAAAAAATATTTAAAGGGCCAGCAGACGGCATAGTGGTTAAGGAGCTGGACTCCCACATGGCTGATCATGGTTAGAGTCCCAGACCTGGTGGGCTGAAAATCATGCCAGGCATGTGTGTGCCCAAATTCTCGAGAGGAGACTGGAGGAGAAAGGATTGCAATATGGCCACCTCCCCCAGGGGGTAATTTCTCACTTTCTCATTGTCTCCTGTGAGCGCATGTGCCCTATGGCAAAAATCCTTTTAAAAAAAATTGCATACAGTTAAACCCAGTAGAAACATGAAAATTTATTTATTTGTTAAAAACTCCCTTTGACTAGAAGGTTTGTTGTTAGGGACAGAGCTTCTGAGCTCACAGGTCTTACTCAGAAAGCTGGGAACTCAGATCCTTGCTTGTGGTCCACATGGAAGTTGTGTGCGTTTCTGTATTCCTGATAGAGCACGTGTGTGCACAAGTGACAGAGAAGAGCACCCTCCACAGCATACGGTCAGGCCATGATCTCCAGCCCAGCAGATCGTGGGACTCATGTATGAGCTGGGTGTGCTTCAGAGCAAGAGGGCCAGGGATTCGAACCACGGTCAGCACGTGGAAACTGGCTCCACTTGAGCAGTGTGTTACTGCTGCACCACGAAGCCAGCCCTGTTGCTTACTAACAGTTAATAACAGAAGTCTTGTTGTTACATGTTTGCCAAAATATAGAATTAATCTCTAATATATGTAAGTAAAAAAGAAAAGAAAAGTAGGCATTTTGGGTTTTTTTCCTTCTTTTTTGATAGCCTTTATCCCTAATCAGTAAATGATTAAGAGCTTTCGTTTTCTTTCTTTTTTTTTTTTTTTTTCTTTTTTTGGAGAGGTGTTTGCTATAGGGCGCTTGTGCTCACCAGACAGACAGAGAGAGACAGAAAGCAGGAAATCACCCCCCAGGGGGGATGATCACGCTGCAATCCCTCTCCTCCATTCTCCTCTGAGGATCTTGGGCACGCACGCACACGCGCCCGGCGTGAGTTTAAGCCACCGGGTCCAGAACTTGAACCGCGGTTGACCACGTGGGAGTCCAGTGACATAGCCATTACGCTAACTGCTGGTCCCAGAGCTTTCATTTTCTAACATGTGTTCTACCAACAGACATTCTCGGATTTTATTACTTTATGTGGGAATTTCCAAAAAAGATAAAATTGTATGTACTTTTCCTAAGAAGATTAAGCTGTCTTGGAAATGGTCTTAAAACAGTATCAGCTGAGGCTTCCGCAAGATAAGAAAAATGATGATAATTTTTAAGTGCGTAAGAGAGTTTAATATAGTTCTCATAAACTCATTAACAACCTGAAGCTGATACTTACAAGGTAGTTCTGTTATTCAGTCTGAATTGGAATATCATTTTGTTCCCTTACTCTGAAAAGGCAATTCACTTGGCATCAACTTTGATATTTCTTGGCCCAAGGAAGTTTCACAGTTCTAGCCATAAAAATGTGTTAGTAAATTATATTCTCAGAAGAAACCCGTAATTTGTGGGTACTATCCAATTGTGATAAAGTGTGTTTCTTAGGTACTTTTTTACAAAAAGAAGTTTTTTAAGTTTATTTCTTCTATGAGAGAGAGAAGTAAAGAGAGAAAGAGACACCCCCAGTAGGGTCTTCATGTCACGATGCAGCGCATCTCAGGCCTGGATCCCAGGCACTTGTGTGCATCCAGCATGCTCAGGGAGTCTGGGACTTGAACCCAGGACCATTTCTATGTGGATCCCGTTGTACTACTGGTGTGCCACAACCTGGCCTATTACATACTTTCCAAAATGGAAACGATGAGTAAACACAGCAGCATATGGCCTCAGAGTGCCAATTTCCTCATATGTAGAAGTAGTTTCTCTTACCTGATTCAATGACAGAATTTATGAATTAGGTTAGCTGCTTAGAAATTTCAGCCAATAGCTCACATGCTGCTAAAATTCATTCATGAACATGTTTATAATTAGAATTTCATCAATAGGTAAAGGGCTGGGATCTTTTTTAGTCTCGTGTTCTACCTTGAATACACTAAGGCACATATGCACAGTGACTAAGGCTTTTTTGTTTTTTATTTATTTATTTTTAATTCTTTCAAGCCCTTTCCTCACTCCTAGATCTTTCTTTCAACCTAAAGGGTTAGGAATGGTCCTCTTTCAGATCTTAATTATTAATAGTTGTTAATAGTGGGCCAGCCGGTGGTATGGTGGTTAAGGCCAGTGGTTTGGGACCAGCAAATGGGTGGGTAATGATTACATTGCTGGACTTCCACATAATCAGCCTTACTTCAGTCCCAGACCTGCAGCTAAAAACTCATGTAGGACGGATGCATGTGTGTGCATGCCCAAAATCATGAGCTTGAGGTGAAGGGATTGTGGTGTGGCCATCCCCCCTGGGGAGTGATTTCTCGCTTTATATCTGTGTCTCTGTCTTGTCTGAGCACATGTTCTCTGTAGCAAAAATCTCTGGCTTAAAACAAACAGTGGTTTTATTTTCTTTCTACTATTAAATACCTCTTGCTAAAACTTGGTTTTTGTTATGTTAAAGACTTACTTTAAATGTGTTTATTCACTTTACAAATATTTATTCAGTGCCTACTCTGATCCAAGCAGTACTCAACTGCAACTCTTCCAGCCAAGGATTCGTGCTGCTGTCTGTCACGGTCCCCCTCTGTTATCCGGCCTCCTCTATCCTAGTCTCATCTTTGCCTTCTCTCTCCGGTCTCCCCATGCTCTTCTGAAGCATCACTGCCTTCAAGTACTCTTAGGAAAGGTCTGATTAGTCTTTTATAATGCAGATTTAAATCAGTTTTATCTTTCAAGAGGCTTTTGCATTTTGACTTGTGTAATGAAAACTCTTTCAAAGAATTTAGAGCTTCTCTTTGCAAATGTTGAAGGTACTGGAGAGGCGGAGTGCCCCCTGCTGGTTCCTTTGAAATGATCCCAAACGTATCCCTCCTGCTTTCATGGTGTCCATGGCCCTTCCTACTCAGTAAGGCTGCTACTCCTCTTGCCTAAATTGCCTGTATTTTCCCTCAGTGTTCAGCTCTACCCACAATCCACATCTTCCTTAAAGATGGACTTTTTCCTGCCTACTAGCATTTCCTTCTGTGAGTTTCCTCATTAAATATAGTCCTTTTCCCTGACTCAGTTTATCATCAGACTTACCTATTGCCATCCTGTTACCTTATTTTCTATAAGATGCCTCACAAAGAGGCACAGTTGGTCTTCAGTGAATACCTGAATGGAATGAGGGGGCAGCCAGTGGCCCGGTGTCCCACCTTTACATCCTGAGGCCTCCCTGAACATAGCAGCCCCACGCCCATCACCCAGCAGGCTGAGGCTGGGGCGGAGCACGGCGTGAAGACTCTGTGAGGGATACACGTGTAGCTCTCTCTCTTTGTTCTTTCTCTCATGGGAGAAATAAACAGAAATAACATACCTAGGCCTGTACAAGTTTACATGTCGTATCTAACAGCATTTTGCAAAATGAACCCATACTTAAGGGCTACCATAGAATTTTTATTTTTATTTATTTATTTTTTGACTAGAGAGGGACAGAATGACATGACGATTAAGGCAGTGGACTCCCGCATAGCCAGCCAACCACGATTCAAGACCCAAACCTGGTGGCTTGCTTTCTCACTTTCTCTCTTTCTCTGTCTCTTTGGTGAAGTCAAAAATAATCATGATGATGATGATGAGTGAAATTAAAATATTTTTTAAAAAATAGTAAGACGGAGCCAGTGGGTGCTATGGTAGTTAAGGTTCTGGACTCCCACTTGGCTGGCTGCAGTGTGAATCCTGGACCTGGCAGCTTGAAAATCATGCCGGGAGCATGTGTGCCGCCCAAAATCCCAGGAAGGGAATGGAGATGGAATTACTAGGTGACCATCCTCCCTGGGAAGTGATTTCTCACTTTCCCTCTCACTGTCTCTGCCTCATAAATACATGCACTCTTTGGCAAAAACCTAAAAAAAAAAAAAAAAAAAATTTAAAAACATGAAGAAATAGTCACAACCTTTTTTTTTTCCTTTAAATGGTAATATCTGAAGAAAATTTTGACATTTACTTCCTAACAGGTGGTTCGTTCTGGATGCAGAAACCAGGGACCTAGTGTCTATCCACACGGATGGGAATGAACAGCTTTCTGTGATGCGCTACACAGTGGGTAAGCTAGCCCCCCTTCCCATCCTGGTGCTCACAGCGCCTGCACTAGACTTGCATAAAGCCGACTCCTTTTGTCTCTATTCTTCAGCCTTGTTAAGTGTTAAATTCTGCTAGAAACTGCAAAGATAAGCAGCATTCTACATCATTAAGCAAATATAAATTTAGAATGAACTCTTACAACTGCTATTTGCAGTTGAAAGCAGAATCAAGTGCAATCAGATTCCTTTTTTTTTTTTTTCAGAACTATACATGCTTGGGCTTTTGAATAGGTGCTGGGTTGAATGTTACCCCCTAGTCAGCAACCTTTTTTTTGTAAATATGAGAATATAAAAAATTACAGGGGCTGGCAGGTGGCATGGTAGTTGGGGCGCTGGGCTCCCACGTGGCTGACCACAGTTTGAGTCCAGGACCTGGAGGCTCGTGCATGCACTCGTGAGTGCTGTCATCAGATTACAGAATAATGATAAATAAAATTAAATAATTCTTGGGGGGGGTGTTACAGTAATGTTCAAATAGGCAAGTTTTACGGGCCCTTCAAGCCCATTAGAATCTAGTTACTGGTGACACAGTAATGATTGGTTTGTTAATTAGGTAAACTACTCAGGGATTGTTGTAAGAATTTGATAAATTTGTTAAATTTGTTCATTTGAATAATTCCTTGTGCTTTATTTAGAATGTTAATTAAGTTTCCATAATTACATTCCAGTTACCTTCCCATTACTAATGTGGTTTTGATTCACACCATTCTTCCCTGGAGTTAGTCTGACATCTTATATTTGAAAATTTATTCCTATAGCTGTTGGATCAGCATGGGGTCCAAAGGATATTTTTGATCACGCTCAGCTGTTTCAGTGGAAGCAACAGAGAGCAGAATACTGTTCTCCGAACTGAAGAAAGAAAACACTAGTGCTTCAAGCTGCATGCCTAGAGTCATATCAAAACAGAAGAGCTTTTCTGTTTTGTTGTTTTTTTGTTTTTTGGGGTTTTTTTAGTGTTGTGGTAGCAAATAACATAACAATTCAAATCCAAAAAGCAACCATGCATAGTGGCATGTGCTTAGAGTCCCAGCTACCAGGAACCTGAGGCAAGAGGAGTGTGAGCTCAAAGCCAGCCTGGGCAGCATAGCAAGACCCTGTCTGTAGAATAAGAAAACAAAAACCCAAAGATCAAATGGCCTTTATTGACCATTTGTTACATCCTTAGTACTGTGGTAAATACAATGGAGGAGACCATAGAATAAGAACATGGCCCCTTCCCAGGGAACCTCCCGAGTAATCAGAGACCATGTGTGCTAGCTGAACTACGCCATACACACTCAGCTTGTCACAGGAACACTGTGGACGGTACCCAGAAGGTAGGGGCACCTATGCGCCAGTTCTTGGCTAGCTAGGAGATAAGGGTAGCGTCCAGAGCCTGTGAGCATCTCAAAGTAGGGACTGTGTATGACTAGGGGCCATCCATTTTTCACGTGGGGTTAGTGAGTGGAGGATTCATTCATTAAGCACCCAATGACAGTTAAATTGATGAGATTTAAGATTTGTAAAAGATCATTTAGTGTAGGTTCGGGAAAAGAACAATAAATACATCTCCAGATGTTCTCCAGTCAGCATTTCTCCCTGCGTTATTCTAGATGGTACCTTGCTGGCCGTGGGATCTCATGACAACTTTATTTACCTCTATGCGGTCTCGGAAAATGGAAGGAAGTACAGCCGATATGGAAAGTGCACTGTAAGTAGTGAAGTAATAAGTTACAGGGTTAGTGGGAGAGCCGGCTGGTGGTGTGATGTTTAAGGTGCTAGATTCCCACATGGCTGACCATGGTTCAAGTCCCAGACCTGATAGCTTGCTTTCTCAATTTCCCTCTTCCTCACTCTCTGTGTCTCTCTGTTCAATTAAGATAATGATGATTATAACAAATAAAATGAAAATAACTTAAAAGATCTGTGGGAAATGTTCCAGTTAGAAAGTTCAATGTTTACACTGATGTTGCCATTGCTTTCTGTTGTTAGCTGCTTTAATCTTTAACCTGTTTTTGAAAATAGACTACCTGACAACAAACCTTGTAATCTCCTTTGATGAGAGGTAATTATTGGGTCATGACATATTTTCTGTTTTTCTGTGCAAAAATGCATCATGACTTTCCCAGTGACCCAGTATTTGTCTCTGACTGCCTATTTTTTTTAATAGAGGTTTTTGCCATAGGCTGTGGCACTTGCCAGAGAGACAGTGAGAGGGAAAGTGAGAGGACATCTCCCAAGGGGATGTCCACACTGCAGTCCCTTCTCCATTCTCCTCCGGGGATCTTGGGCACACACACACATGCACCCAGTGTGATTTTCAAGCCATCGGGAGTAGGAGCAGGACTCAAATTGCAGACTCCCACATGGGAATCCAGTGCCATCGCCACTACGCCCTCTGCTGGCCCCTCTCTGACTACTTTCAAGGCAGTTTCTTAAAGCTATCCCCATAGGAAACTTTTAGGATAACACTTTTTCAAAGTGGAGTAAATCCAAAATAAAAGGACATCTCACTTCTTTTGTTTTTAAATGGCCAGAGGGTGCATGTGTGTGAGAGAAACAGAGCACCCCACCCCCCACATACCCTCCAGTGAGGCCACAGTCCTTTTTCCTCTAATTCTCCAACCCCATCAGGACCCAGGCGCATGCACATGTTCTGTGCTGTAACAGCACAGCTGGTTCAGAAAAGGAACAGCACTGTGTGACGCTGGATAAACTCCCGGGGCCAGGACTCAAGCCCTGGTTGGCCACGGGGGATCCAGCTTCTGTGCAGCACTTAGCCAGTGTGCCACAGGGCTAGCCCCAAACCTCACTTTTAAGCTCAACATCCCCTGTCCCTGCCTACACCCAACACCATCCATATCACCCCTTTGCACCAACAGTACTTTTTATGGAGATTTGGCCCCACCTTAACGAGCTAACAGAAGCATGTTTATTGTGAAACATGTGTTAGCTTATTGCTAACTCAATTAGGTTATTGTAAGAGGCTGCTTAGATTGAATTTGGTAGGCATTCTGGATCCTGCTGTTGACAGGTGCTCTGCTATCTAGAGACGGTCTAGGCACTGGCAACATACCCAAGATGGGGTCCTTTGTCCTCTCAAAGCACCAGTGAGCTGAGGACTGGGGAGACAGGAAAGGTAGGTAGTGTAGTGTAGCGGTTAGGAGCACAAACTGGATTGGAATACCAGGAGCTGAACTCTTACCTTACCATGTTCAAGCTAACCTGACCTTGGGCGAGTTACTTAAACCTTCTAAAGTTTTCTCGGCCATAAAGTGAGGATAATAGTAATTTCTACTTCACAGGTTTAGGACAAGCTTATACATAGAAAGTACTTAGGATAGTGCTTGGCAGATAATGTAAGTATTCAATAAATACTATTTAAAATAGAAAATGATGTAGCCTGCGGCTGCCAGGTGGCATGGTGGTAGAGGCACTAGATTCCCACATGACCAACCATGGTTCAAGTCCTGTACTTGGCGGTTTGGTCTTTCTCTTTCTCTTCTCTCTCTCTCTCTCTGTCTCTGTCTCTCTCTGTCTCTCTCAGGTCACATTTTAAAATAATAACAAATAAAATTAAATATTTTTTAAAAGAAAATGACGTCGCTTACTATAAATGTTAGGAAATTAATTTAGGATTAACACTTCATGTGATGAATTACTGACACAAATCCTTTAACAGTCTTTATCACAAAACAAGTCGTTTGGGTATAAAATAAAAGAATTTTTTAGAAGCATGTACATCTTATAATAAGCAAAGTAAGCTTCACTGTGAGTCTGAAATTTTGCCTACTCTATGTAAGCAAAAACGAGGCCATTTACTATTAGAGGAAGGGAGACTTAATTGTTTGCTTTTCTGCACAGTTTATGCCATATGCTCGAGCCCATTAATACACTGATCGGTAAGCAACCTCAGAGTTTTAGAATTTATCCAAAATATTTTTGTTTATCCTGGCAACAATTATGAATCACTGGCAATTTATTTAAATCCATCTTTTAGTTGGTTTGTTACTTTAATGATTGTGATATAAAAATAGCAAATGTACAACATGGTCTAATGAAATGCTCCACTGAAAGGAATTTTTAGATTACTGAAGTTCACCCTACCAGGCCCCATATATTTCTAAAAATTTTTAATACTAACCTTTAAAAAAAAAAAAAAAAGAGGTTCTTACATTAAAGTGCATGCACTTACCAGGGAGAGAGAGAGACAGAAATCACCCCCCAGCAGGGATGGCCATGCCCAGTGTGTGTCTCAAGGCACAAGGTCCAAGACTCAAACTGGCATTTGGCTATGTGGGATTTAGCACCTTAACGTCCATGCCACCTGCTGCCCTAGGATGGGTTTTGTTTTGTTTTTAGCTTCCCCAGGAAATTGTTAATCAGGTGCAGACCTCTAATTCAGATGACAGTCCTCCATACAGTTAACAAAAATTTAACTGAAGGCCAGCAGGTCGTGCGATGTTTAAGGGTGCTGGACTCCTACATGGCTGACCGCAGTTCAGGCCCTGGACATGGCAGCTTGCTTGCGCTCTCTTTTTTTTCTCTCTCTCTGTCCCTCTCTGGTCAAATGAAAATGAATAAATAAGTAAAGTAAAACAAAATAATTATTAAAAAAAAATTTTAAGGGACCAGCAGTTGGCATAATGGCTATGTCGCTGGACTCCCACGTAGTCGATTGCAGTTTGAGTTCCGGACCTGGTGTCTTAAACTCACATCGGGCGCATGTGCATGCATTACCATGATCCCGAGAGGAGAATGGAGGAGTAGAGATTGCAGTAATTTCTCACTTTCTGTCTCTCTGTCTCTCTCTTTCTGGCAAGCACACGCACCCTAATTAACTCAAATATTTCTGAATGTTTTCTCCAGAGTAGGAGTCTGCATCTCATTCACTTGGGTGACTGTGGTCACCCCATTCAGCTACTTAAGGCCAGTAATGAAAGTGCTAGCTTAGAATACTTTACTGCTCCTTTTTAAGGAGATATACTAAATTTTGCTCCCAGCATTTGAAGCGAACAAAATTCAGCTTTTAGCAGTTTTCTCAATTATGACAATGTTAAATACCTAAACAGAAAAGGATCACCATTTTTCTATTTAATGTTTTAATGGGTCAGATGTCTATACTGGACCCATCTATTCTGAAGGAGTGATATGCTGGGTGACTTGCCCCCAGAAACATTCTCTGGAGATGGGAGTTTTTCTAGAGGACTTCTATATGACTGTACATACCCATACCCCTCAGCCTCTGAAGTGTGCCATGGAGAAGTGTACCTCTGAGGTTTGCTCAAGAGAATGGTACTCTTTGTGCACAACTGGTAACCAGTATCCAGCACCTTGTTCTCAAAAATGGAGTCACTCTAGAGACCAGCAGTTAGCGTAATGGCTATGTTGCTGGACTCCCACGTAGTCGACCGCGGTTCGCCTCCTGGACCCAGTGGCTTAAAACTCACGCCGGGCGCATGTGCGTGCGTGCCCAAGATCCCGAGAGGAGAATGGAAGAGAAGGGATTGCAGCGTGGCCAACTCCCCTGGGGGGTGATTTCTTGCTTTCTGTCTGTCTGGCGAGTGCACGCGCCCTATAGCAAAAACCTCTATAAAAAAAAAAAAAAAAAGGAGTCACTCTTAGTAGAGACACAGTGACTTGAACTCTAGCCTAAAAGTGTGTTATCTGTTGCGTCATCCAAGATCCAAGTTTAAGAGACTGTCATGGCACAGTGGTTAAGGCGCTATAATCCCACATGGCTGATCACTTTTCAAGTCCCAGGCCTGGCAGCTTAAAATCACACCAGCTGTGTGTACATGCATGCCCATTATCTCAGGAGGAGAAGGGATTGCTATCCCTCTAGCAGATGATTTCTCACTTTCCCTCTCACATTCTTTCTCTGTCTGTCTTTCCACCCTGCCCCGGCAAGTGCATGGGCCCTGTGGCAAAAACCTTTGAAAAAAGATATTTTTCTTTTAAAAAGGAGAGGAGAGACTGTCTTGGGCCTGCCCGGTGGCCTGGTGATTAAGGGAACCAGATCCCACATCACCAGCCTAGTGGTTTAAATTGCAGCCCCATTAGCTTGAAAGATATAGCAGGCCTGTGTACACTCATATGCAGACTCCTGCCGGGGGAGGAAATGGAGCAAGGGCTGCAGTGTGACCATGCCCTCTTAGGGAATGTGCTCTCTCTCCCTCTTGCTCCCTTTGGCAAGTGCACAAACCCTCTGGCAATTAAAAAAAGAGACAGACTGTCCCTGGAAAGTCCCTCGCACAGTAGTGCTTCTCTCTGGTGTCTGGTGGAGAGGCCAGCCGGGTTCTCCCAGGTTCCAGGTGCTTGTTGATGTTCCCTTGTGATGAGATCCCTTTAGTTCCACAGCCTTGCCAGAACTCGTTATCTTCACATACTTGTGTCTTCGGCTGCACATAAGACAGAGTCAATGGGAACTAAGGACCTACTGTGGTTCCTTTTCCGTTCTAGAGGCTTTAATACTGTTCTCTGTCCTTAAGGAATTCCAAAGAATGGGCACTCAATTAAACTGTCATTCAAAACTCTAAATGCTTTCTAACAGTTCTGTTACTCCTCAGGGACATTCCAGCTACATCACACACCTTGACTGGTCCCCAGACAACACGTATATCATGTCTAACTCGGGAGACTATGAGATACTGTACTGTAAGTACGAGTGATCCCATGCGGGCTCAGATGTGTCTGTCGGGGGCGCTAATGAACAAGGCGAATTTGAATTGTACAGAGGATGCGTGCTGGCCTCTCTAACCTGACAAAGCCTGTCTTACTCTGAGCTAAGGAGTGAGAAGCGCAGCGATGGCGTGCCTCTCAAAGAAAGTAATGAATTAATGTAATGGTGGAGGCATGCTTAGTAATAAGAAATCACTCAGTGAGATTCATGCTGCTCTGAACGGTTTTCCATTTAACAACTTTTCCTGGAGGCGGGAGGAGTAAGATGGATGGGGATTTATGCTTTTTACAAAAAGAAAAAAAAACTTTCATGGGAAACAATTTGTAGTTCTATAAACCTGTTCTGTTAAAAACGTTTCCTTTTTAAATGTGTCTAAATGTTTTGCAGTGTATGGATTATAAACACAAGTAAACCTACTAGTTTGATTTGAGATGTACCTTCAGATACTGTGTATACAAGCTCTATGATTATATTTCCTGTCTCTAAATTTAAAGGGAACATTCCAGAAGGCTGCAAATTAATCAGGAACCGGTCGGAGTGTAAGGACATTGATTGGACGACTTACACCTGTGTGCTAGGCTTCCAGGTCTTTGGTAAGGACTGATACCTCATGTGAAGAGGCTTCTGAAGGGGCTTTATCGATACTTGCTTAAATCTGTAAGTTCAAAATTGTGCGTTCTTAATGTTATCACTATTAATATCAAATTCTGAGAAATTGAATATATTAGGATCGAACCAGTATAGGTTTGTTTTCTGCAAAATCCAGGATGTTGGTCCCCAGTATATAAAAGACCGTTAAACGGGAAGCACTATACGGTAATACAGGTGCCTTCCTTTTCTTCTCCCAAGTGATATTGAAGTTCTTCTATTTGTGAAGATGTATTTAAAATAGCAGCATTATTGAGATATCATCCACATACCATACTCCTATTTGAGTACAGTTCAGTTTTTCATGCATGCAGAATTTTACACCCAGCGCCATGGTCTAATTTTAGATCACCACCCTACCAAGAAGTCCTGTACCCATTAACAACACTCCCCACCTCAGCCTTCCTGTGTCCCTCCAGCAGCCACTAAGATACTTTATCGATTCGCCTGTGCTGGATGGATAGTTCACATAAATGACATAAAATAATATATGATCCATTGAGACTGGCTTCTTTCATTTAGCGTAGCATTTTTAAGGTAGCATGTATCAATACTCCATTCTTTCTGTGGCTTAGTAGTAGCCCACTGTACGGACATACACCACACTCATTCCTCAGCCGGGTTCCCACTTTCCGGCTGTTAGGAATGATGCTGCTATAAACAATCACGTGCACATTTCTGTGTGGACATGTTTACACCTCCCTTGGGTACATACCTAGGAGCAGACCTGCACCTTGCTATACCTGGAACTGGTAAGTCCTCCTCCGCCTACCACTGAGGTGAAGCAAGCTGAAACTGAAATAAATGATTAGCACCACCTGCTGGCTACTCTGAATACTGTTGCATCTTGTAGCTATTTTGGTTTATCTTTATCATTAAATTTTTAATAAAACCTGTAATCATTTGAATGAAAAATAGTGTTTGACCTACCAAGAAATCCGTAATGGAAAATATTAGCTGTGAATTTGAATGTACATAAAAGTTTATCTGATTTTTAACTCAAACAAGAATGTAGCACCACATTTATATTTTGGGGCTAACGTTTCTATCCCGTGTGTTTCCGTATCTAAGGGGTCTGGCCAGAAGGATCCGACGGGACAGATATCAATGCACTGGTGCGCTCCCACAACAGGAGGGTGATAGCTGTTGCTGACGACTTCTGTAAAGTCCACCTGTTTCAGTATCCCTGCTCTAAAGCAAAGGTAACTAACTCAATTCAACAGACGAGTGGTTTTGGACCTTCTACCTGGGGATTCTTTTGTGACAGTGGAAAGGAAAGATTTGTAGGTTTACAGGTTATGCTCCGTACACAAAATAGGCCCATCACGAGCATCCACGCTGGCTTTACCGTCATCTCCTTCCTTGTTCAGGCTGAGAAGACCACTGCACACGCGGCACCGAGGTGTCTTAGTTAGTCCTCTTTGTTTATTGTCTAGTTGTTCACTTTGATGGGGTTTTTTTGTTCAGTTTCGTTTTGTTTTTGGAGAGGTTTTTGCTATAGGGCATGTGCGCTCACCGAAAAGACAGACAGACAGAGGGAGAGAGACAGAAAGCAAAAAATCACCACCATCACCCCCAAGTGGGGTGGCCACACTGCAATCCCTTCTCCTCCATTCTCCTCTCGGGATCTTGGGCACACATGCATACACGCCCAGCGTGAGTTTAAGCTACCAGGTCTCAGACTCGAACCACAGTTGACTACATGGGAGTACAGCGACATAAACTTTACACCAACTGCTGGTCTCCACTTTGATGTTTTTTGACAATTTAAAATCTCTTTTAAACGTATTATTTGTAAAATAATATCAGCTTTATAAAACTAATGCAACTATTTCCTAAATCACTTCTATTCCTGCCAATCTAGGAAACTCTTCTCCAGCCATCACAACAGAACAGTTTCTAAGTTCCAACAAGTAAACTAGCCGAGACCCGAAGACACTGGGTGGTTGTTTTTTTTTTTTTTTTAACATATAGTATAAAAGTATAGATATCCAATTATTTTGTTTCTCCTATGTAAAGAGATATTTAAAGATTACTGCTAACTTCATTCCTCAGATTGGATGCCGTGTGGCTTTATCTGAATTGCCCATTTCCCACGCCCCGTACCTCCCCTGCCTAATTACGTCCATTGCTGTAGCAGGCATGTACAGAATGAGTTTGATTTTCCTTCTCATTTCTTCCATACAGGCTCCCAGTCACAAGTACAGTGCCCACAGCAGCCATGTCACCAATGTCAGTTTTACTTACAATGACAGTCACCTGATTTCAACCGGTGGAAAAGACATGAGCATCATTCAGTGGAAACTTGTGGAGAAGTTACCTTTGCCTCAGAATGAGACTGTGGCGGATACCACTCTAACCAAAGCCCCCACCTCTACCATTGAAAATGCCATCCAGTCTAATACCCCGACGCCACCACCTTCCCAGCCCTTACACGAGACAGCTGAAGAGGAAAGACTGAGTAGTTCGCCCACACTTCTGGAGAACAGCCTGGAGCAGACTGTGGAGCCGAGCGAAGACCACAGCGAGGAGCAGAGCGAAGGGGGCAGTGAAGACCTCGGTGAGCCTGTGGACGAAGACCCACCCAGTGAGACAAGGGAGGAGCAGAGTGAAGCCACTCTTCCCGAGGACCGGCAGGACGCTTCACCCCTGTCCTAACGCCTAATGGCTAATGGCTTCAGTTCAGCGTTTCCTCCCCTAACTGCGTGTGCCTGTGGCAAAGTTCAGATAACAGGATGGGCAGTGATGACGCATCACTGTCAGGCAACATTGCGGTTTCCACGTCATCTGTTGTCTTTTCTTCAGTTTCTCAAATGCAGCTGGCCTTAAAGCTTCAGGTTGGTGTGCGTTGGAAATTAACCCAACTTAATAGCAGGAGAAGATGGAAATAGGAATTATGTCTTGGAAATTACTGTGCACAAGCAGCGTGATGTAAATACTGGAAACGAAGACAGCAGACACGTTGATTGACATGGAACCCCTTGTTATTGGACACGTTTTCTTCAGGAACCATCAGACGCATCACAAACACTGTTACTCATCTGGCTCAGACCATGCTTTTTTTTCTTGATGCAGAAAAAGAAACGAGAAAAAAAAAACGAAAATGTGCTCTTATTGAGACATCCTCCCACCCCAAATGTCTGATGGAAATTTTTTAATTAAGAAAAACTTCAGTATTGCCAAGTGCAATGGTGTTGCCTTCTTGAATGCCATTTCTTACACTACCAGTATCCAGATGTGCTTGTTAGTCTACTACATAGGTGCTGCCTTTTCTAAGTCATAACGACAAACAGTCCCTTAATTTCGTGTGTACACATCTGCTTTATCCTAGAACTAAGAAAAGCATTGGTTTGTTAAAGAATTTTTGGTGTGTATTAAACCCTTGATACTCAGAAAGGATGGATTCCTTCAAGGAGTCATTCTACTGCCTGAACACACCCGGATGTTTGGCAGTCAAGTGGATGGAGGGAAATAAAACCACATGCCTTTAAAACTAAACTGTAACAGTCACCTGGATAGTTTTAGCGTAGCCTTCATCATAATCTGTTCCCTCAATAATAAGAGAACTATAAATACAGTAAGTTGAAATGATTGAATTGGTGCTTGAAATTCATTGGTTTAGTTGTAATTTTAATACAAATGAATTATACTGAGGGATAAGGTATTCAGCAAATTGCAAATTCTTTTTTACAGAAGTGTGAATAATAGTCACAGAAACTTTTTATAAAGTGCGTACTTAAAAGACTGATTATATGTGGTAATTTTTTTCTGGTGGAGTTGCCATAGCCTTGCAAGTCTAATGTGGTATCTTCTGCTATTTGGGGCAATGCATGTAGTATTATGCATTGGGAAGTTGGTTTTTTTAAGTTTTATCTGACAACTGTTTTTAAGTACATGTTCCTACTTTTAAATAATTACTGACAAATATGCATTTCCTATATATTTGTTTATACTTTGATTATAAAAATTTCTGTTTTTATTTTTTATCTTGCTGCGTTTTGATACTTTTTTTTTTGGTCAGATCATGTTTAGAAACTTTGAATGAGTTCAGAAGTCTTAAGTATGTAAGTGTTTACGTGATTGTGCCATTCCAAAGTGCATCAGAACTGTCATTCCCTTCTAGTATCTTCTCAGGAGTAATACAAATCAGGTATTTCATCATCATTTGGTAATATGAAAACTCCAGTGAACTCCCAAGGACACTTACAACATTATATTCACACGCTGTGTGGAAGGGTGTGGGTGTGTGTGAAGGGTGAGTGGACACTTACTCTGTGTGCGTGTATGTCCTATCTAGATAAGATATGCACATCGAAAATACTCAGTGTAGATCTTTGTGTGTATAGATATATGTCCGTGTATATCTCTTCTGTTTACAACGTTTCAAAAAATAAAAACCTCAAAGTAGTCCTCTTCAAAAGAAGAGAGACAAGATTCCAAGCAACCCAACTTTTTTCAGTATGTTCTGTACACAGTGATCAGAGAGCACCAGTAAGGACCAGGCGTCGTCTCCCTGCCTGTGTGCAGCGAGATGAAGTCCTCGGGTCGGCACGTGCTATTCCCCACAAGAAAACTACTAGGAGATGAACAAGCGATTGGAGAAGAGCATTTCGTTAAGAACCTGGGGAGTGCGGCTCTCTGTGATAAGCAGGGAATTTATTGGGCGACATCACTCACCTTTGGGGTTGCCATGTACAATGAGATTTATAATCGTGATACTCTTGGGTGGTAGTTTCAAAAGACACTACTAATACGCAGAAAGCGTTCCAGCTCTCTACTGCTGGCAACTACTGTTTAATGGTCAGTTCAATCTGTGATAATGGAAGTGGGTGGGATTTTGAAATTGTAGATGTTTTTAGAAAAACATGTGAATGAAAATGAATCCAAGTGTTTCATGTGAAGATGTTGAGCCATTTCTATCATGCATTCCTGTCTCATGGCAGAAAATTTTGAAGATTAAAAAATAAAACAATCAAAATGTTTCCTTTGCTTCTCAAAATGTGTCTTGACTCTCCACGTATGCTGCCAGTTTCGGCGGCATTCCAGTTATCAGAAGATACAACAGTTCAGGACAACACGTTTATCAGTGGATCCCCGTTGCCGTGGATAAAACCATTCTGGTAGTATCAAACTCCATCTCATAAAGTTAGAGGAAATTACTTCTGATTTATGCCCCCCATTTAATAAGGGAATAGCGTAGTTCTGGTTTTCCCCTATCTACACCTTCTCTCATGTTTAACACTGGGTAATCCTCATGATCCTGGTTACCTGCCTGACCCACTGCCTCTCAGGGTCAGCTTCCCTGAAGTATTGAACTCCGTAGGCCGTGGTGTTCCCTGCTTTCTTCCATCTCCCCAGTTGCTTAGTGACCCAGATCCTCTGTACCCTCACCGTAAATTGGCATCTACAATGTCTCTTTGTGAAGAACCAGTAAGTTGAGAGTGATTCCAAACATTCCCCAGTTTTACAATCATGGAAATACGGGGTTTTCATTGTCTTCAATATTCATTTTCAGTGACTGTATGTTCACAGCCACTAAGCCAATAAGAAGCTCTCCTGGGGTAGGAATGCCTTTTTCACTAATTCAGTGACAGAATGGCTAATAGGTACCCAGAACAAACTCGCTAATAGTGTGATTTTTCTTAATAAGAAATAGGGAAATTCAGAAACAACTCATCTATGGGGAAATAATTCAATTTTGGACACATTGATGTGTTATGTTCGTGTAACTTCTAGAAGGAACTAGGTTTGCAGCTTAACGCTGGAACTGAAATGAGAGGAGAGACATATTTAGAACCTATTAGGCTGAAGAGCAGGTGTGTAGGACCTGGATCGAGAACTACCACTGGAAGAGCACCTACTCCAGGCCAAGGGGGCGGCAAACCACCTGGCCCACAGTGAAGGCCCTGAGAGGAGGAACTGAAGTGAGGAGATTGACCAGCCCATGGTCATCTGACTAGGTAATGGCCAAGCCCAGACTCCATGTTAACAAGGTCTGCACTGCTGTCACTATGCTAGAAGACAGACATTGTGTAGCAACAGGGAGGAAGGGGCCAGCTCAGCAAAGCAGTAACGTACTGCCAAGGAGAGGCAGAATCCTCACGCAGTCAACCTGGAACACCCATGGGGTGTGTATTGGTGCCCAAGATCTGATGGATGGGCTGGAGAAAAAAGGATTGCAATGTGACCAGACCCTGGACAATGCTTTCTCTCACACACACACACGCGCGCGCGCGCACACACACATGCCTGACCCTGTCACTGAAACCAGGCCCTCAGAGAAGCCCCCATTGTCCAGGATACCCATTCTTGGGATCATAGAAAGGTCTCAAGGTGAGGCTGGCAGAGCCAACTGTGGTTTGAGTCCTGAACCTGGTGGCTTTCTTTCTCACTTTCTCTCTTGCTCTGTCCCTCTCTGGTCAAATTAATTCTTTTATTTTTTTAAAAGATGTAGCCCTTTGCGCAGTGACCTCCTCAGGGACTCAGGTAATGGCACTCATTTTGTAGTGATTGGGTCACCTTTTCCAAAGAAAAGGAATTTCTACTCTACCCTCACTAAGACATCCCGATGATAACCTTGAAAGCGCTGATGTAAAGAAGACAAACTTCCTGGCCAGAGCAACACAAAGCAAGCAAGCAATCCCAAATGGAGAGAAGAGGTCTCTTGGTCGCTGGAAGTGTCAACCTATTTCCTTCTGTACCTATGGTCTCTGTGGGTGACACCCTCAAGAGACCCTGACTTTCTGACTGATGCTTAGACTATACCAATCCAGAAACCAGGCAGAAGAACCGAAGGGTACCAGTTCTGTGGCTCAAAGGACACGAACATGAAGATACGGGCTCTAACAAAACCTCGGTGATCAGTGGTGGTAGGGCACAGCCCGCGACGAGGGGCCAGTCAAAGACAGCTACTACTAAACCTGCTTAACATACTAATCAGCCCTTCCGACAGCCCTCCATTCCATGTTCCATCTTGTAGATGAGGAAACGGGAACAGAGTCTGGGAACTTGCTCAGACCACACCATCAGCAGTGGCTGCGTCACAGTTTGAAAGCAGGTGTTGCTGCCTCCACAGTCCACGTGGCTAGTCCCTGGACTCTCCTGTTGTAGACACTGTAGGATAACATTTTGCTGAGAAGAATGAATGAAACTGGCTAAAACTTCTGGTAGGGGGACCAGCAGATGGCATCTAATGGTTACATCACTGGACTTCCACATAGTCCACCACCGTTCGAGTCCTGGACCTGGTGGCTTAAACCTCACGCCAGGTGTGTGTGCGTGTGTGCTCAAGATCCTGAACGGAGAACTGAGGAGAAGGGATTGCAGCGTGGCCATCCTCCCTGGGAGGGTGATTTCTCACTTTCTGTCTCTGTCTCTCTGGCAAGCCCATGTACCCTATAGCAAAAATCTCTTTTAAAAAACTGGTAGATGGAACCAGCAGGTGACGTAGTGATTAAGGCACTGGGTTCCCACATGACCAACGGCGATGCAAGTACCAGATTCAGCAGCTTCAAAGCCATGCTGGGCTTGCGTGTGTGCATGCTCAAAATGCCAAGAGGAGAAGAGGTTGCAGGGTGATCATGTCCCTGGGGAGTGATTTCTCATTTTCCCTCTGTTTCTCTCTCCAGTGAGCTCCATGGGAAAAAATAAATAAAAAAATATCTGGTAGAAAGGACTCAAGACTAGCACAAGGAAAAGCAGAGAAAGTGACTAGGATTTGGAAAAGGCAGCTTGGACCCACAGTATCACAGAGTTGAAGGCCCCCTGTGCACAAATCCTCTCCTTCCCTAGGACCCGAGCACTGGCAGGAGCTTCCAGCTGCTACTCTGTCCTGTGGCACCTGCTGTGTCCACTGCCAGCTCTCCTGCCTTCCCTGGCCGCCGTCAGTGCAGAGGTTCTCGGTTCCTGACGCTCACACCTGTCTGTGTGGAGACACTGCTCTGGGCAGTTTCCACTTCACTGATTATAGTGTGGTCACTTCTATCACCAGCCACGTGCTTTTCCCACTCTGTCCTCACTCCCCCTCTCACCCCTCCGTGGCAAGCCCCATGCGTGGCCGTAGGCTTTGATTCTGTCTCCCCTCCCCGGCAGCCGTGTAGTCATGTGGTCCTGAGAATCCATCTGCCCATTGACAGAGAACATGGGCAATTGCTGGTGCTGATGACTACGTGGGACCGGGCAGTCAGCTCCAGAGGCCGATTTTAACCCCCAACAGTGTCTGCTTTCAGCCAAGCTCACCAAGGGTGAGAAGAACTGGTGAGAAGTGAGGAAGGACTGTAGTCTAGAGCACTGTATTGTACCAAGATCGACGCCGTACATAGTTATGTAAAACATCACTATTGGGGGAAGCTGACGGAAGGCTCCTGGGACTCCACGTCGTTATTTATTTTTAATGAGAGACAAAGGAAAAGAGAGAAAGAGACAGGTATTTCTGACATAGGTATATCACAATCCTGCCCCGGTCTCCCAGTTAGCCTAGGACCGCAGGAGCACTACCACGCACCAACCTTCTTAGGCTGGGCCTCTCATGAGCCGAGACCCAGCACAGTGGCATCCTTCCACGTGTTCCCATGATCAGGGCCTATTTCTGAAACTTCCTATGGGTAATAATGATGTAAACTTTACCCTCCCTTTGTGGCAATTGTGGAGGGAAATGCCCTCACTACAGGAAGCCGTTTTGTCCTGTTCTGCTCTCGGAGAGGTCAGGTAACACTGCCAACTGGAAACGGCCTGCCCAGCCTGCCACCGCAGGGCCTGCGAGAACCCCAGCTCTGGTGTGGGCATGAGGGGACCCCAGGCCCGGGAGAGGTATCGGTCTCGGGTGTGACTACAAAGCTCGGCCTCCGGGATGGCAGGGGCAAAGATGACCTGCGAGCACGGGAACTCATCCTCAAGTTCACCCTCCCATGACGGGTGGCTGACATCGGCGAGGACTTGAGAAAGTTTGTGGAGAAACGGAACGAAGTATCAGTTTCTTCTGGTGCAAAAATACCTTTTAAAGCCATGCATGTCCTCATACCATACAATCTCCAGGAGCTTTTGAAGACCCCTCATAAAACAACTCCCCTCTCCTGCCACAGATGGAAAGCGACAGCCTTCGGTGTCTCCCTCCCTGTACCCCCTGGACTGACTCAACCTGAGGTCAGGGTACTCACTCCCGCTTTCATGGAAACCCAACCCTGAAGCCACCCAGGCCCTGCCTTCAGGTGCTTGGGCTGAGTCACCTAACCTTGTTCAGCATTACTCAAATGAAAAAGAAAAGAACTTGGACTCTCTAGCAGGGCCCTCAGGAGACTGCTGCGGAATCGAGATGAGGTGCTCAGGCTTTCTTCCCGAGAGTGACTGGCCCCAGCTTCACTAGCAAAATCCATTTGCACACGGCCTGCTCTTTGCTACATGAGTATCTTGCTACTCCATGAATACCTCATCTCCAGAATCAATGTTTGCCAGGCTCTGACATTTCCATTTAGAAGATGAATTAATTCTGGGCTGAGCCAAGAGTCCTTTTCTTAGGACTGGAGCCCTCACAGGACCCTGGCACCTTGTGAGATCCAACTCCACCCACACTGGATGGGTCAGCTCTGTCCTGGGGGCAAACGAGGCGGCACACAGCAAAAGCCTAACCACTGGCTACAGCGGCAAAGGCCCCAACAAGTAGTTTTAATGGAGGATGATTTGGATCGTTTTAACTAACGAAGAATGGTTGTAACTGCTATAGAGGAGTTAGGCACTAACTGTGCAGCCCCAAGGCTCTATCTCCCTGGTCTCCATCTGAAAGAACAGATTAAGGGCTTGTCCCACCACTGTCCCCAATCCAAAGGGGAGAGTCTTGCTAGTGAGTTCTTGGACTTTGCCTGGCCAGCTCTGGGAAGGGCCAGCACGCTGGAGCGCAGGAGAACAGCGACGGGCTGTTCTTGCATCGGGCTACAGGGCAGGCGGGGCCCCTCCAGCTCACCGGGGGGCCACCACACAATAAATGGTGT